TAGAGCTGTGACCACAAATACCAACACCACTCCGCACCGTTGGCTACAGGTGAGGGGGCTAGAGAATGGCCACGACATTTTACGTGCAGGAGCGGGCAAAACGGTTTAGTTCAGTAGGCTGTGCAGATATTCCGAGTAGTCTATGCCCGTTAACATATAATAAGCAACAATCGCCGCTTTTAGCAAGTCCTCTGGATCAGAAAAAAGTAAGTGACGTCTATAGCTCCACAGCCCCCGCCTGTTGTCCCGGAATTCTAAGCTATGTAATCTACTTGGGTACCAAGACACTGGGTATGACTCGCGTTGAATTATGTTACCCTCCGAATCTTCGTCTGTCCGTAACAGGTGAGCGATCAACATTATCATTTAAAATCAGCTCGGATATACAATTGGTGCAAGGTGTATCCCAAGTTGTCAAATTAAGTAAGGCAAGCATACAATAGCCTAAAATACATGGAGGGTGTTAAATATAACCCTTGTGAGACCTGTGAAGGGTGTGAAATAAAACCCTTCCGGTGTAAAAGTTTTTTTTTTTTTTTTTTTTTTCGAACCAGTCACCCTGTTGTTGTCCCTCCACTGGCTCTTGGCAGCTGCAGGGAGAGGTTCTATCGTCTGCTTCTAGTCCTGGTCCGCAGATTCTTTGTCCTGGTCAGGGCCTGTCTCTTGTGACAGTTCCTTTTGGATCTCAGATAGAGTGCGTTGGGGCTCGTCCGTAGCAGCGCACTGAGTCCAGTGATACCAAGTGTCGCCTTTGCCGTCCAGCCGGACAGCGTGTGACGTTCTCTCCGTGATCCTGAAGGGCCCTGTCCACCTTGGTTCCGTCCACTTTCTTTTAGTGACCTTCAATAGGACCCAGTCCGTTCCTGGTTGCGCGGAAGAGGTGCTCGTTGTGGCACAGTCGGCTTTAACCTGTAATGAAAACTGAGAGACAAGACTCCGCAAGATGTTATAATATGCCCTTGGGTCAGGTGGATCAGCCAGATCAGCGGTTAAGGCTAGTTTGGTGGCAGGTCCCGGAAAAGGACGCCCAGTCTGTAGTTCAAAAGGGGTAAACTTTGTGGTTTTGTTGACTGAGCTCCGTATGGACATCAGAGCTAGTGGTAAAGCATCCAACCAGGTCAATTTGGTCTGTGCACAGATTTTAGCCAATTTAACCTTTAACGTTTGATTCATCCTCTCCACCTTCCCCTGTGACTGGGGATGGTACACTGAACCAAACTTGTGTTTCAGTCCCAACATAGTTTCAACCTCCTGAAGATCCTTATTCTTGAAATGAGTACCATTGTCAGATCTGATTTTTTCTGGGAAGCCATGTTGGGGAATATAATGATTAATCAAACATTTGATAACTGTTTTACTGTCTTCCTTTTTCGCAGGCCAGGCCTCTGGCCATCCAGTGTACGCATCCACACAAACTAGGAGGTACCTGTAGCCTTGTACTCTGTCACTCATGTCTGTGTAATCTATGATTACCTCTTTGCCAGGACACGTTGGAATAGGAAATTGACCTTGGATGGGTTTCAGTGAGGGTCTGATGCCAAAATGAGCACATTCTGTACAAGTTCTGACTAAATGCTTGGCCATGTCTGCTAGGTAAGGATGCCACCAGGGGGACAAGTTTCTCATCATCTGTGTTACACCTACATGTCCTATTCCATGCGCTTCTTCCATTGCCGTTTGTCTGATCCCAGGTGGCAGTATAGGCCTACCATCTGGCCCTCTCCAAACGTCTGTGTTGGTTGCTCCTCTAGCCACCCACAAAGATTTCTCCTGTGGAGAGGCTTTGTCCTGCATTTGTTTAATGGTCTGGATGTCTAAGTTCATTCTAGGGTCTTCCTGGGCTTTTCCTTGCTGCGTCTCTACTACCATGTTGTAAGAGGGAAGATAGCCTGCAGTCTGTTTCGCCACCTTGTCTGCTTGTCTGTTTCCTTCGGAGACGAAGTCTTTACCTTGACTGTGTCCTTTGCACTTGATTACAGCTACTTGAGCGGGAAGCAGTAGTGCTTCTGCCAGTTCTCTCATTTCTGCTTCGTGTTTAATGGGTTTGTTATTGGTCGTCAGAAACCCTGCTCTAAGCCATTGTTTGAGCTCTACATGGACTGCGCCTACAGTGTACGCTGAGTCACTGTATATGTTGACTTTCAGTCCTGTGGCCAATTTCAGAGCCTCAATGACTGCTAGTAGTTCTGCTCTTTGGGCGGATTGTTGTCCTTGTAGCTGATTTGTTTTGACTGTTGTCCATCCCGTTTCACCCAGTTCTACTACTGCCCATGCTGCTTTTAGTTCATTTTTGTCGTCTCTGTGACAACATCCATCTGTGAACCAGTTTTTGTCTGCGTGTTCTATTGGTTCTGCCTGAAGGTCTGGCCTGATTTTCTCTCCTTCCTCTACAATTTGTGCGCACAAGTGTGGTTCCCCTGCGCTCATTTGTTCTGCCATATTTATACCTTCATGTGTATAGGCTATGTGAGGTGCTTCCAGAATTTTGCTCAGCCGCCTCTGCCTTAGTGATGTCATAGTGAATGCCTGGGAGGTAATGTAGGCCACTACACTATGGTTGGTCAGGATTTTCAACGGATGGCTCATCACTATGTGGGTGGTTTTTTGAATAATTTTCGCCAGTCCTGCAGCATATTGGGTGCAGGGAGGATGTCTTTTCTCTGTGTTGTCTAACATAACGCTTGTGTATGTTAGTACCTGTCTTTCTCCCCCTTTTTTCTGGAACAGGACACCATTCATGTGCGTGTCCGTTCCAGAAACATCTAGATAGAACGGTGAAGAGTAGTTTGGTACGGCGAGGTCACTAGCCGTGGACAGCTGCTGTTTAAGCCTAATAAATGAGTCTTCTGCGGCAGTTGTCCATGTTAACGGGGCGGTGAGGTTGCGCATGCCCTGTTCATTAACGAGATCACGCAGAGGGGCAGTGAGACCTACATAATCGGGTACATACGTTCTGCTATAACCCGTGAGACCTAAGAATGACAACATTTCCTTGACTGTCCGTGGCTTGGGATGGTGCAGTATAGAGTTCCGATGTTCAGGAGAGAGGGACACACCTGTCTGTGAAATCATGCGTCCCAAGAATGAAACTTGTTTCCTAGCAACCTGGAGCTTAATTTTGCTAACCTTAAAGCCTAGCCAAGCAAGGTGTTGAAGGAGGGCTTTTGTGCCTTCAATACAGGCCGTCGCAGTGGGAGACGATAAGAGGAGATCGTCAACATATTGAATCAGGACACAGTCCTCAGGCAGAGGGCATGTGTCCAGTAACTGTTTTAGACATTGATTGAAAAGGCCAGGTGAGAGGGCGAAGCCCTGTGGCAGGCGTGTGTAGCGCCATTGTTGGCCTCGGAAGGTGAATGAGAAGACATCTCTAAGGTGCTCATGAAGGGGTAAACAGAAAAAGGCATTGGCCAGGTCAATGCAGGTGAACCAGGCATGAGATGGAGGTAGGTTGGTCAGGGCAACATAAGGATTAGGGACAGGTAGGGAATCTGTTGCTAATAGAGCATTGATTCGTCTCAAGTCATGAACCATTCTAAACTTTCCTGTTCCCTTTTTCTCTACAGGTAGAATGGGAGTATTCCAGTTTGCACTAGAGGGTTCCAAGACCCCTGCGGTTACCAGACCCGCCATGGTTTCCGCAATTCCTTCCTCAGCCTCTGGTTTGTGTGGGTACTGAGGGATCCACAAAGGGGAGGTACTGGTCAGGGTAAACTGAATAGGTGGGGTTCTAACCAAACCTACATCAGTTGGCCCTGCTGACCACAGGGAGTCCGGAAGCTGAGATAACATAATGGCCGTATCTTGATGATCCATTTTTTCACGACCATGGGTTCTGCTGATAACCTCATGCGAGAGGGTAGATGTGTTTGTGCAGTTATGTGTGATCCTATATATGTCTTAGTCATAGGGGAGTAGGAAACCTGTGGGAGAGCGGTGGGGCTCCAATCGGTGGTTGCCAGAGAACGCTTAACCATTCCCCCCAGTTCCTTGGCCTGATGGGAAGGATGTAGGGCCAGTGAAACATGGGGCACTGCTTCGTCTGCCATCATGTACCAAGGTAGTTGGTCAGGGGAGAGGAAAACAGCAGCTGCCACACCCTCAGGGGCAACAAAGATGTCAGACACCCTAATTTCCCAGGTATTTCCTTCACAGGAGTTCTGGAACGCCTGTTGATACCAATTGGTTTCTTGTCTGTCATAAAAGAGTGTTACATGAGGAGGGTCAGGGGGCGGAACATACGGGTGAACCTGACTAAGCCAAGGCCTCCATTGTTGGTAGGCGGACACAATTCCAGAGGCTTGTGGGTTTTCAGGATCCAGCAAGGCCCAGTAGATATCTGCAGAGTCAGGTATCGAGGATAGAGTCTGTGCCAGGTATATTCCTTCTGGCGTCATGGATCCGTCACAAGGCAGCACCGTACCTTCCGGTAAGGTCACAGTTAGTCCATTGGGGGAGCACAGAATTGTTGCTTCCAATTTGATGAGCAAGTCTCGTCCCAGAAGATTCACTGGAACCGATGGTGAGCACACGTAACTATGAAACACAGTTTGTTCCCCCACCTTGGTTGGAAGAGGCAGGGTGTAGGGCAGAGTTTGAGGTTCCCCAGAGAAGCCCATTACTGTAGTATGGCGGTTGGAGGTCTTGTTAACTGGTACAGATTGAACGGTAGAGTGCGTGGCCCCTGTGTCAACCAGGAAGTCTCTTTTTATTCCATCTACAGTTATAGACAGCATGGGGTCTGCCGTGGTCCCCTCACCGTCCGTGGCTCCCTGTGGGGTGTCCTATGCTTGTGGACCACCCTCATAGTACTCCCAACCTACAACAGGCATTTGGTTTGGGAGTGGTCCTTGGGGACCCGGACGGGGACCTTTTTGTCCAAATCTTCCTTGTCCTCTCATGGTGTTAGGAGGCATAGGGCAGTTTCTAGCCCAGTGTCCCTGTTGCCCGCAGTTATAGCAAGTGTCTCTGGGCGTTGGGATGCCTCGGCCCCTACCAGGTCACCCCTGTCCCCGCCCTCCGAAACCTCCCCTATGACCTTCGTATGGGGGTTTTTGAGCCATGAATGGAGTTGGTGGTGGATTATATCCTGGCAACTGTGGCGGCTGCTGCCAGGGGTATGGGAATTGATTGGGATTTGGTACAGCTGGGGGAGGAGCAGCGGTGGCAACCATTTGTTTCTTGGTCTTGTCCCCCTTTTCTCCCAAGGTCTTTTTTGCGGCTTGCAGTTGCACTCTAAGGAGCTGTTTCTGCAGTTCCTCTAGATTATCTGATTCCTTTTCCTCTGTAACCTGGATTTTATTAAGGTTAAAAATCAGATGATTTTTCCATTTATTGAAATCGCAGTCAGCCAATTCAGGGTTGTCTTCCATCTTATTGTTAACGATTTCTGGGACTCCCCTAAGGACAGCTTTTCTAAACCACAGACTTTGGGAACTTTCTCTGCTGGGGTGATGGCCTGTATGGTTCACCCAGTCATCTATGGCTTTGTTCAAATAGTTGGTGGGGTTGATTTTCCCATCCCATTTGAACTTATGGAGGGTTCCCTGATTTTTAGGTGGAAATTGTTTGCGTAGGGCTGGTCCTAAAGTCCTTAACACCTGCACCAATGGTACCTCATTCCCATGTAGGGCGGTACCTGCATTTTGTTCCAGATCTGCAGCCTGGGACCTGGATGTGCATCTGGTGATGATGGCCCTGAAATCTCCCAGAGCGAGGTCCTGTCCTGAGGTATATTTATCTAAGTCTGCTAACCAGGCATTTCCTCCTTCTGCAATGTCTGGAAGCTTATCAACCAGGGCTTGGATGTCTCCAAATGTGTATGGCTGATATACCTTTGGGCCACTTGTTTTGGCCTGGACGAGAGGATATTGTCCATGTGGATTAAACACAGCCCCTTTTGATCTGGTGTGGTAAGAGTGTCTGTCTGGGATCGGAGTTACCCGATCTCTGCGGTGTGGTGTGTCGGGTTTAAGGCTTGGGTCAACTAACTCGGCTTCTATTTCATTTATCGAGTCCTCGTCATCTTGTCTGGACCATTCTTTATCTAAGCGAGTGTCCGCAGTGGAGCATGTCTGTTCTTCTGGTTCATCGTGACCCATCAGGTTCATGGTAACGACCAGGTTCTGTGGTGTGGTCTGCTCAGTTTGAGCGACAGCTCTCAGTTCACCTTTAACAGTGAAAGGGTTGGATGGGCTAAGTGGAGAAGCTGCAGCTAAGGAGTCTGGTAATGGTGGGTTAATAGGAACAAAACTACCTGTCCATTGTGTTGTTTTTAGTGGTCTGGGTATAGGGCTCTCCCTAGCCTCTCGCATGGTATTCTCCAACTCTTCTACCTGCTGCCTGAATATTCGGCCGGCGAAGGGTAGGGCATCGCCGTTCATCCCGGAGGGACAAGTTGACTTTGGGGTGGAGGAGTTGTCGTTATTAATCTGAGTTACTTGTGACAGGGAAGAACTAGCGCGTTGATTACTCATGAAAAAATCTTTTCTGTCCTGCTGGGCTGCGGCGGGACCGGCAGGCGACACTGGGAGTAGAGGAGCAGTAGGTTGTTCCTCCTCTATGGACATCGTTCCTCCGGTTATGCTAAGTACCGGGTATATGCCTGAGTAAGGGGGTGGTTGTTGATCAGTTGCGTTTTGTTCTATTTTTCTTTTCTTCATTTTAGGCTTTGCCAATTTCCACAGCAGGGCCCACTGATTGTACTTAGCCTTGCGCGCTATCAGTTTTTCTACTTCTTTCTGGTGTTTTTTCTTTCCAAACATTCCAGCATTTTCCATCAGTTTACGTGCTTCTTCCTCTTTCTTTCCTGTTTCTGTTACCTTCTGTCCCCAAATTATTCCCCAATTTCCTGCACTATTCACATCCTTTCCTTTTTCCTTCATCAATTTCTCCGCTGTCTTTCTTAATAGCTTCTTCTGCTCTGTTGCTGCAGCTGGGGCATTTGTGGTGTCAATCACTGTTTCTAAACACGCTAGTTGTTCTCCCAGCGTGTTCAGGATCTCGTTTGGACCCCATCCATCATCTATTCGCTCTTTATGAGACTCTCCGTCCATTTTTCTTTTAATGGTAGGAGTTAATCTTTATTGTTTTTGGTGGCGATTTAGATCAGCGAGGTCTTAGTTCCTATGGAACTCTAATCACTGATTTTTTATCGTGAGATAGTACTAAAAAACCGTTGTGGTAACTTCCAAGCTTCTACCTTTTCAGGCGGGAAGTTCTTGCCTGTGCATCCACAAGGGCGTACTATATTAATTCTCACTCGGTATTTTACACTTAATATCAGCAGTTTAACAATTCATTCAACAGTTCATTCATGCATTACCCTTCTAGTTGCGGCTCATAATGCTGCGCGTCCGCTTATAAATATTATTTAGTATGTGAGTGTAAATAGTCTATGTGTTTTCACTTTAACCTTAATTTGGCTCCGCTGGTTGTGAGCTGATTTCAATGTAAAAAGAAAGGGGGTGTGAAGTCCCTTCTTATTATATAATCTGATATTTCAGTGAGGACAGGGTCCTTCCCCTGAAATACAGCACTCACACTTTGTGTATTTATATGAACAAAAATAGAAAAACACAAACATACAGGTCCCTGGCCTGTAGCAACACTTTCTAAGATCCCTGATCTTTTTCAACGTTTAGGGGACTTTTCCCCAAGGTCCCCGACCTTTTTATATAGTCTTGTTTTATCCTAAGATCCCTAATCTTGTACAAAGTTTTGTTTAGGAGGCTTTCCCCCAAGGTCCCCGACCTTTTCCGGGCTTTTAATTTTGTCAGAGGAACTTATGCTCGTCAGCTGTAGTTCATGACAATCCCAGAAATTCTGTCTTTCTATTCTATAAAACTTCTTTCAGATACCAGACCTGTGTTTAGAGTTTTCAGTTTTTGTCTCCAACTCTTTACAATTGTATTAATTTTACTGACCTCAGTTGCCAGGAACCTCGACACAAATTAGTTTGAATATATTCAATGAGCAGATTTTTGTATAAAAAGGTCTGCTTACCTTAATTTGTGTCGGCCGTTGTGTCTGGGTCCTGGCTCCCGAGTCTGGTTCCGAATTGGTCTCTTCTGCCTCCCTCTCTCACCAACCGAGAGAGGATCCTGTTCGGGACGCCAATTTGTTGGTTTTGTATTTTGTCAAAACCAATACAGGTACGAGGTCATCAGAAGAGGATGGAAGATGCTCTGTTTCTTGACTCCAACCCTTGAAGCAAAGAACAGAGCATCTTCCATCCTCTTCTGATGACCTCGTACCTGTATTGGTTTTGACAAAATACAAAACCAACAGAGTATACTTCTAAGTAAACTTTAAGAACAAGTATGCAAATAAACTTCTGTACACTTAAGTATACTTGAAATTAAATACTTAAAGTATACTTCTTTTTCGTAAGGGATGTCACTAGCTGGATTTCCTACCCCCTTGACGGACCTTAAGCATGGATAGGCTGGCATTAGCATCGGAGAGGCTAGCCATTAGCCTGTCTCGGAGAGTCACTAGTCAGCTAGTGGCCAGCCTAGGCATGCAAATGGCTAGCCTCTCCAATGCTAACACCAGCCCGTCCAGGCTAACGCTAGCCTATCCATGCTAATAGACAGCAGAGGGAGTGTGTGAACCAGTCAATGACCAGCCAAGGGCTGCTAGTCCCTAGCGTATCTAGTAGTAACGCCGGTAAAGGTGCTATTTCTCAGTAAGCAGCGCCAGCCTCTCAGTTACCTGCGCCAGCTTATCATTAATCAGGTCGATAGTTTGCTTCAGAATTTATATAGCCTCCTGCTGCTGGGCAGTAGTCTTAATTTTGGCCCCCATACCGCGCCATAGTTCTCTGCATCTGACGCTAAAGGACACGACTCGTTTACCTGTCACATCAGAGAAAATGCATTTGCAAGTTTAGTGCACGATGTATCTGGTAAACAAAAAACACAGAGGGCAAGCCTGCACGGCTGACGAATGAAACTCGCAGTAGCGGGAGGTGACAGACGAGAGCCAAGCTTCTCAGAAGATGTTGATAAAATCTCTGTGGTTGAAACAAGTTGACGTTCAGTCAGGAAACAAACCCTCAATCAGCCGGTCTTGCAATATTTTGTTCCTGTTAGCGTGAGTAAAATGATCCTGTCGGGCTAGAGAAGTCCACCCAGCAGCCGTTTTTTACTCCTGCTGTCTCGGTTCTGTTCCCAACGCTGATGGAGATTTTCCTCACAGACAGTCGTGGGTTAAAGGTCACCTGCTGCAGAAATTAACTGAACAACTTCTTTCTGATTTAACCTCACAGCGTGACTCGCAGCTCTGAGAACTCATTAGTTTTCATAGAAACACTCCGCTCACACACACACACACACACACACACACACACACACACACACACACACACACACACACACACACACACACACACTTGGGTTTAATTTTTAACTGTCACTGTAGAGGCCTTAAACCGCAAGAGGCAGGATCTTTAGAGGGGATTTCCTAAACTAAAGTTCCTCATTCATCCGTTTGATCTGAAACCGTTTTGTTGAACATGAAAAATAAAGTTTTTCCTAACGAGCATTGATTGACCCATAAAGGACATGGCCCCATTCTTTTAGATCAGATTAACTAGAATCTATGAAACATGAAAATAAATCATAAAAACACAGCAAAATTCCCCGGAAAATCTCAGTGAAGCAGATTTGGAATTCCAACCGTTGAGTTATTTATTCAAATCCCAAACAGCAGAAAACGTGAAATTTGTCCCTTTTTTCAGATTGTTAAATGACGACAACCAAGATGTTAAAGGTAAAAATACAAAGAGACGTAAAATATAAATAGTTTAATCAGCTGTTGAGATGTGAGATCGGCGTTTTAAAGAGAATTTTTAAATTTTATCAAGCATCAACTAAAATGACAGAGATTTTAAATACCAGGATGAATAAACAAACCAGACACACACGTGCACAAAATTAGTCATAAACAAAAAACATAAATAAACTCGGACACAAAAAAACAAGATCAGACACAAAAAACAGCTGCCAAGACACACACACACACACACACCAGAATAATACACACAACATCTGAGACAACTGGAAGATCAGCTGATATGTTGGTGCTACAGGACTGACTTCTAACATGGAGGATGCAGAACTTTTAATTTGAAAAGTTTAACAGGAACTTCCTTCAGTGGGATTAAAACACGTTTCAGAAGAGTCAGAACCGTCTCTCTTCTGGCCTCCATCAGAGATCATGTGTTCATGAGCAAATTTACAAAAGATCCTTTTACCTCCTGCACTGTGCTCCTCCTGGGTCTGGGACCACAAGCTGGATCCCTGTGGTCCTGGTCCAGACGTCCAGCTCCCCTCAGCTGGACTGGGTGCGCTCGATTTGGTGTTTGGCTGCAGACTTTGTGCTAAGAGCTGTGGAAGCTGCAGACAGATGGAAGGTGTTTTCCTGTCTCGTTGCTGCTTGATGCTGTCATCTGTGTAATCACAGGCTCCGCCCCCCTGAAACACACACATACACACTCATACACACACACACACACAATGGATTTCCATTATGGTGATTAGTTAGTTTCAGCATTTAATATCACTTCGAAGAAACTGAGACGTGTAGAATATTTTTGAGTAATGTGATCAGAACAATTAGAAATAAAACTGTATGTTTTTCTAAAAATGTTGCCAGCATCAGATATTTACAGCGGACATGTGAGTCTCCACTGCCTCTATAAACACTCCAAACATGAAATAAACCCCTTCTATCCTTTTTCTGTCTGTTTCAGAATTTGTATGCTTCTACGAGTTGTTTCTAAAAGTCCCCATTTGTGATGTCACAATAAGGGAACTTAGCGTAGAACCACCGGCTGAAGGAGGAGTGGCTCTTCTCTGAGCCCCTCCCAGATATCTGAGCGTCTTGCCACTTAGCAACCAATCAGGGGATGGATGGGTGTGGCCCGCAACTGCTTGTGTTTCTTAAAGTGACAGCACCCTGAAACGGCTCATTCTGGAAGGTACTGGGCGACAGTGGCAGAGGGGTTAAGTGCTGGCCCTGGAGGGCTGCTTATCCCACCATGCTGCTGGTGCTGGTCGGAGGGACCAGTGGCGCCCACGAGCTGTTATAGTGTCGCCTTTTAATGTTTCCTTCTATTTAAACAAAAATGTGCCTTCTCTGGATTAATTTGAGAAGATCAGAATCTGAGATGTGATTGAATCGTCAGAGTCTAACTTTATGACAACCAGCTGATCACATTAAATTAAATGTTGGAGTTCGTTGTAGTCCTGATTTCCTCCTCACTGCTTTTATATCTAACTTTATTACAAAGTTGTGTGTTTATTATTTCTGAGCTACTTCCGGGTTTGCTTGTTTTATTTTATTGATCCATCAGGGTAAATAACTTAGTAATTCAGTAGTTAATTAGATTAAAATACACAGGAAGATACAAGTACAGAAATAACAATTAGGGATGTTCCAGTCACATTTTTCTGTAGTCAGTATCTGCTGGTGTGTGTGTGAGTGTGTGTGTGTGTGTGTGTGTGCGTGCGTGCGTGCGTGCGTGCGTGTGTGTGTGTGTGCGTGTGTGCGTGCGTCTGCTCTGTCTTCTCCATCCCCAGTGAGTCGTGGAGGATGGCTGCTTATACTGAGCCAGGATTCTCTGGAGGTTTCTTCCTGTTAAAAGGGAGTTTTCCTCTCCACTATCGCTACATGCTTGCTTAGTATGAGGATTGCTGTAAAGACACTGACACTAGTCAGTGACTTGATGCAATTTGCTGGGTTCCTTATATAGGAAACATTATTTCTGATTGGCTTAATGAACTGACCTGAATTGGAATGTTTATTATGTGAAGTGCCTTGAGACGACTCTTGTTGTGATTTGGCGCTTTATAAATAAACTTGAATTCAATTGAATTGTTACTGAGACGTAATCCTGTTGTAAAACCATTATTATTATATTGTTTTCTGGCTGTTTGTATATGCTAGAACCAGTATTCTGTAGCTGACACAGCAAAAAATTTACAAAATCACTTTCCCTATTAAGTTAGACAAATTTGGAAAGTCGCTTTACTAGTCAGGTACATTACCTCCTTTGAGTTGATTTTAGAAACGTACGACTGAGCACAAAAACTAAACGTAAGTAGCGATCCCTAATATAGAAAACAGATTAGCTTAAAAATGTCATGCATCTAATGTTCTAACATTGTGTAGCTGACACTGTAAATATATGAAGAAATGAAAAAGCTGAATGAGGTGAATCTCTCACGTTTGTTCAAAACCCTCAGCCAATCAGACCATTCGGTAGTGAATACCAAAGCCAAGGGCAGTGGTCCCCTGGGGCCGCTAGGTGGAGCTAGAGGTCAAGCTCCTAGCTCAAGGATGCCTGGGCACGGAGCCTTTTTCAGGTCGGCTTCAAACCCATGACCTTGTTGAGAAGAAAACTCGTACTCATGCTCCAGGAGAACAGAGTCATCTAGTGAAATAAATACAGCCTTGTGCGAGATTAGAACGGGAGATTAGAGGTGCTGAGCACTCTGGTCTCTGCTATTACCTGGCCGTAATATTATTCCTGAAAGTTACAGTGCTCAGCATAAATGAGTACACCCCCTTTAAAAAGTACAAATTTAATCTGTAGCTCAATGTAAAAAAGAACAGTTTCCTGGTTTTTCACAAGGCCGGATTTTATCGAACACTTGTTTAACTCCATAAGATTAATATGATAACTTAGATCACAATATCTTCATCCATCCATCCATTGTCTGAACCCGCTTGTCCATGTAGGGTCGCTGGGGGCTGGTGCCTATCTCCAGCGGTCAATGGGCAATCAGGCGGGGTAGACCCTGGACAAAGAGCCAGTCCATCACAGGGCAACACAGAGACACACAGGACAAACAATCATGCACACACACACACACACACCTAAGGACAATTTAGACAGACCTATCAATCAAATCAAATCAAATCAAATCAAAGATACTTTATTAATCCCAGAGGGAAATTAAGAGTTTCAGAACACACAATTCAGAGATCAGACATACATGGGCAAGACACATGACAAGAATTGGTGACTGTGGTCATTCGTAACCCTGAGTCGCGCTACCTTATAGAGATAAGAGGGTTACATGAGGATTGGTTCAGGTGGAGGGAAAAAAAGGTACTTCAGAGTTACCCTCCACAGGGAGGGCAGCTTTGCTCTGCAAAAAAACACCTCAACAGATATGCAACAGACTTCAGACAACACAAGTGTCCACTAGGTGGGGCGGTGGGTTGGGACACTTCAGTTCCTGCAGCCACGATAAGCAGCACATGTCACTTCAGTGTGGATAGGGGGAGGAGCATTGAGGGTTGGAGGGTTTCAGTGACCCTGGAACATTTCAGCGGCCTTCCCGCAGTCCCGCCCAGGCTGGGAAAGGAGACAGAGTTGAGTTTCCATAGCGATGGCACATTCCACATATCTTCTGAGGGGGAGTTTTCGTTGGAGCCTTGCTGGCTCAGGGGCGCCAGATTCCAATTAGAAATAGTTTTGGGGCCAGACAGAGATAATTTCCTCTCTGTCTTACAGTTTGTTGGTCCTCACCCTCTCAAAATCCCAATAATGGACATTAATTTATCCCAATCCATGCTGATTCGTCCACTCTCTCCTTGATGGCATCCATCTTTTGTGCCAATAATGAATCTCGGCCAAAGTTCTAAGCTTACGATTCATCTCGACAATCATGTGAGTCTGTGAATTCACAGCGCGGTGAAAACCATCTCTGAGCTCCGGGATCAGGCCAATATTCCTCGACAGCTCGTTAATTTTCCGGTAAGCCAGGTAGCCTCCAAGGCCAAAGAGCAGAAAACCCGACACCAACACCACAAATATCCACACGTCTTCAGAGTCCTCCACAGACAGCTGAGATAAACAAATCAAGTTCCACTGTTTCCAGGAGTCCATGATTGGATGGAATGGATGAATGATTCGCTGTAGTGTGAAGCGCTTTTGAGCCCTGAATAAAATCACACTGATCTGCTTTTACGACAAACAGAAGGCCTAAATTTGTCACATTTACATTATTTTTCTTTCATTCATCTTTTAGTTATTTAACTTTATTTCTTCCATTATGTCGTTGAAGGTGACGGGAAACAAACGAGTAAAATTCTCCTCACAGTGAATCAAAAATGAACGTCAGATGATGATTTATTTTATCTTTAACAAATGTCAACAACACAATTCTATTTTACAAAAATCTAAAATAATGTCCAGAATAAGGAAGCATTTATAATAAAGCACATGAATAAACCTTCAGTTTGATTCTACATAAATGACACGAAACTTCCCTCTGAGTTTGGTTATCTTGGAGGAAACGTCGACACTGTGGGAAGAGCACAGAAGAGGAAGTCTCACTTCCCTGTAGTTACAAAAACGTGTTCAGTAAACTCCTTACAGGTGTGCTAGTTCATGTTGAGATGTGTCCACCTGTCAGGTAAACATAGTAACAGTTTTTAACTCCATTAACTTAACATAACAAGCTGCTGTCATGCAGGATTCACGAGGCACTTCTGCATCTTCAGAAAAAATAAAGTGCTCCAGAGTCCAGTCCCAGGTGTGCTCCAGTCCCAGGTTTGCTCCAGAGCCTAGACTTGGGTGTGATCCAGAGTCCAGACTCAGGTGTGCTCCAGAGTCCAGACTCAGGTGGGCCATAGAGTCCAGACTCAGGTGTGCTCCAAACCCAGGTTTGCTCCAGAGTCTAGACTCAGGTGTGCTCCAAACCCAGGTGTGCCATAGAGTCCAGACTCAGGTGTGCTCCAGACCCAGGTGTGCTGTAGGGTCCAGACTCAGGTGTGCTCCAGACCCAGGTGTGCTGTAGGGTCCAGACTCAGGTGTGCTCCAAACCCAGGTTTGCTCCAGAGTCCAGTCCCAGGTGTGCTCCAGACCCAGGTTTTCTCCAGAGCCTAGACTTGGGTGTGATCCAGAGTCCAGACTCAGGTGGGCCATAGAGTCCAGACTCAGGTGTGCTCCAAACCCAGGTTTGCTCCAGAGTCTAGATTCAGGTGTGCTCCAAACCCAGGTGGGCCATAGAGTCCAGACTCAGGTGTGCTCCAGAGTCCAGACTCAGGTGGGCCATAGAGTCCAGACTCAGGTGTGCTCCAAACCCAGGTTTGCTCCAGAGTCTAGATTCAGGTGTGCTCCAAACCCAGGTGTGCCATAGAGTCCAGACTCAGGTGTGCTCCAGACCCAGGTGTGCTGTAGGGTCCAGACTCAGGTGTGCTCCAGACCCAGGTGTGCTGTAGGGTCCAGACTCAGGTGTGCTCCAAACCCAGGTTTGCTCCAGAGTCCAGTCCCAGGTGTGCTCCAGACCCAGGTTTTCTCCAGAGCCTAGACTTGGGTGTGATCCAGAGTCCAGACTCAGGTGGGCCATAGAGTCCAGACTCAGGTGTGCTCCAAACCCAGGTTTGCTCCAGAGTCTAGATTCAGGTGTGCTCCAAACCCAGGTGGGCCATAGAGTCCAGACTCAGGTGTGCTCCAGAGTCCAGACTCAGGTGGGCCATAGAGTCCAGACTCAGGTGTGCTCCAAACCCAGGTGTGCCATAGAGTCCAGACTCAGGTGTGCTCCAGACCCAGGTGTGCTGTAGGGTCCAGACTGAGGTGTGCTCCAGACCCAGGTGTGCTGTAGGGTCCAGGCTCAGGTGTGCTCCAAACCCAGGTGTGCTGTAGGGTCCAGGCTCAGGTGTGCTCCAGACCCAGGTGTGCTATAGAGTCCAGGCTCAGGTGTGCTACAGAGTCCAGGCTCAGGTGTGCACCAGACCCAGGTGTGCCATAAAGTCCAGACTCAGGTGTGCTCCAGAGTCCAGGCTCAGGTGTGCACCAGACCCAGGTGTGCTGTAGGGTCCAGGCTCAGGTGTGCTCCAGACCCAGGTGTGATGCAGAGTCCAGGCTCAGGTGTGCTCCAGAGTCCAGGCTTGGGTGTGCTCCAGACCCAGGTGTGCCATAAAGTCCAGACTCAGGTGTGCTCCAGAGTCCAGGCTCAGGTCTGCTGCACCTGAAGACCGAAGGTGCAAGGTTTAGCTGAAATATTTCGAGAGTAACTTGATTTTTATTGTATCTGCTCTGTTTATATTTCTTCCGCCAAGTAAATTGGCTTTTTGGAGGCCTTAACATTCCCGAAAACTCAGGAATTTTTGCACACATGTCAGGCGTGGTGTAAAATTTGTATTTTCAAGGTAAAAAAAAAATCGCAATAAAACTAGCTCCACAGCGCCCCCTAGAATGTGAACCCCCCCCATAATACTTTGTTTGTCGTACGGTTATGAAATTTTGTACACTTGTAGTACTCAACAGTCCAACCAGAAAAGCCTCTTGCAACTATGGTCAACATAAAACAGGAAGTCGGCCATTTTGGTTTGAAGTGGTGATTTTGACCCCATTATGGCCGTTTCTAGGGTCCGCTTCTGATTGATTTACTCGATCATTTTTCGCACGGTCTTGTCTAAATTTGTGGGAAATTCCTCAGAAGGGATGGGCGATCAAATAGAAAAAAAATAAAACAGTCTTTTTGTATATGCTGAAGGGCCGTGGCCAGGCCTCGAAGTTTGACTACTCACCAAAAAAATATAAATGGCTATAACTTCATACCCGAATAGAGTAGAGTTACAAAAATTTCTGTGGTCATTTGACATCCAGCCACAAACTAAACTGAATGTTGGATAATGACATCACGCAAGTGGTTTTCGCACACGTCGTTTGGAGAGTGACGCCCCATCGCCCTTGTCAACGATTGCCTTCAAACTTCTGTTATTTACTCTTAAGACAAAAGGGGAAATTTTTCAACCGTCGGATTTTTCAAAAGTTGAAAGGTGTGGGCGTGGCTAAGCCTCAAACATTGACCTTTCGCTACTAAATTCATTGATGTAATAACTTCCATGCACATGATCAGATCTATATCAAACTTTGTCTACGTGATCACTGACCACATGTCAAGACAATGACAATGTGGATAGCTGACATCACATAAGCCCCGACCCCTGACAACAGGAAGTCTATTGTTTTGTGGTGAACAGTGTTGGGCAAGTTACTTCAAAACTGTAATGCATTATTTATTACTTGTTACCCTCATTTTCATGTAATTGATTACATTACAATATTACTGATTTTAAAATGTAAGGCATTACACTACTTTTGCATTACTTTCACCAAAACAATTTCAATATGAATCAGGTCATGTGATGCTCAGTGAACTCATGACACATGCAGAGGAAGGTGATGTGGTGTCTGAGCTAGGATTGCTGTTAAAAACAGTTCTTTAAAATGATTGTTTATTAAATAAAAGCAACAACAATCTGTACTCTCAGCACGCTGCCATCTTAGATTAACTCAGCAGGATGTGAGGTGGTGGGGAATCCAAGCCTATTTTGCCTTGGTCCCCAAATGCCTTGATACGGCCCTGGATGTGGGAATGACTTCTCGGGTGATCTGATTCTATCACATGTATAAGTTTTAAATGCTTATATATTATTGCTTTTCACTGGTAAAAATGTGTACTGGGGATAAATCTACATACTTTTTTTTTCTTTTCAAGCACTTTGTTTTGTTTTCTTGGTTTTATTTGAATAATTTCCGGCCCTTTCTCTCCCTAACCTTCCTGCATGCTGCATGTTTTCTCCGTCTTCCAGAAAAAACTGTTTCCTAGATTTCCTACTTTCTAACTAATCAGCCAAAAGGATCTACCGAATGCAAAAAAAAAAAAAAGCTTAATTTGCACTGCGCTCCAGCAGCAATGAGTGGAAATCACCGGGCGAGGGCACAGATTATGAACTCAGCTGAGGCAAAGCACATCAGAAAAGTACAGAGAATATGGGTTGATATGAACGATCGCAAGTGAATTATTTTGTTTTGGTGGAGCGATTTTATGAACATAGCAGCGGCCGCGCGCAGGACGCAGCTGGAGTATTTGAGCCATTACCGCTGCGTCCTCTCTGCTCATAGAATGCCCGCAAAGCGGAGTCCATAAATGACGTCATATATGTGGATGCCGGATCTTTATTTTGGGCTTTAATTTTTAAGAAACCCACATCTTGATTCTGGATTTAAAAATGCGTTGTAATTACCGCGTTACTGACAACTGTACCGAGTAAATATTACCATTTTCTTTCCCTGTAATGCCTTACATTACCACATTACAGCAAATGCATTACAGTAATTACGGTAATTACTTTTGTACCGCGTTACTCCCAACACTGGTGGTGAAATGCCCATATTCGCCCCCTCTAATTTAGTCAACATGACTCTAACATCATAGACTGTCTTCATGATGCTGTAATGACCATTCAGTTCTGATAGCTTTCCAGATAGGGAGGGGCTTTGATGCCATGGTGAATTCTGGGGTAACGCCGTGACCTTACGTTTGACTGTAACTTCCACAAACAACCTCCGAACTGCACGAGACTGAACATGGCAATCAACAATCATGCCCTTTAGCCAATGAGGCACAAACGGTTGGTGACCGTTGTATAATATCACCACAGCACCCCCTACACACCTTTAAAACTGTAATAACTCCAACAGACGAGGTTGTAACTGCACCAAACTTGCTATGTGTCATCACACAAAGGCACCCAACACAATCCTGTGGTCATTTGTTGATATCATTTTAGCTCCGCCCCCTGAGAGACATTAGGCCCTGAATAACACATGCATGATGCACTTCACACCAAACTACATGCAAATGATTGTTGTGAACCTACAAACTGCTCCATGGGATATGTTCCTAAATTTGGGACAGCGCCCCCTAGATACAATAAAACCTTTAACTTTTACAAAAAGCTCCAAACTATATCAAACATGGTGGGAGTCATCACACAACTGCAATCAACACATGTATGTTCTCACTCGTTCAAATCACTTTAACTCCGCCCACTTAAAGCTTTTTGCCTCTAGATGGCCCATGCAACGTTCGATTGATGCCAAATTAACAGGAAACCATCTTTGATGACCAAAGATGACCTCTATGAGATTTAGTTGTAAATGGTCACAGCGCCCCCTAGATAGGTCCCCCTAGATAGGTCATCACATGACTGCACCAAACACATTGATGTGGTTGTTGGTTCAAACCCCTTTATCTCCACCCCCTTTCAGCTCCCTGGCTTTAGACAACACACACGTCTGATTTGTGCCAAAATAACAGAAAACCACCTTTGTCAACCCAAGCTGACCTCAATGGGATTTTTCTGTAATTGGTCGCAGCGCCCCCTAGATAACTTTAACCTTCAATAACTTCAAAAAACGTAGTCAGAGTAGCATTAAACTTGGTCGTTGTCATCACACCACCAGTGTGGTAAAGATAGAGTGTCCCCTAGTGGTGAGATGTGTAATTTAATGGTGGGCTCAGAGAGGAGACGCTGATTCAGGGTGAGGTGCGAACGAGGACACCGTTCATGGTTTCTGGTGTCGGAGTGGTCGACGTTTATGTTCCACGGACGTGACCGGGTGCACCGGGCTGCCGGCCAGGCTGGAGCGGCGCGGACTGACTGGATAAAAACGTGTTTGGAGTCAGCCCCATCCAACATGTCCGCTGCAGCAAACAGCGTTAAAATTAGCTTGAGAGAGCTAACAGATCACTTCCCAACATTTGATCAAACAGCTATACCCCCATCGTTTCTCATCGTCACGTGGTTCCTTTTTAGAACTCTGGCTGAAAAGCAGAGAGTGATGGGAATTCTCTCGAGGAATTCCAGGACTTATGGAGGTTTTTAAGACCTGAACAAAGTTTGTGAAGATCTTTAGTCCTGCTGGGGAAGAATCGAGGCTCAAAAGTCTTTAAAAGATCTGTTTACAAGTATCCACTATGGGACTGTGGATTTATTTCAGTACAGGGATAGGGTCTATCCATAGTTAAAGAGGAATTCTGCCCAATTCCCTGTGAGGCGAAACCCCATTCCATCTGAAGATCTTCTCTAAACTGGTCTTTTTACAGGTATTATAGAAGCCGTCAGTCAGTGTGAGCTACAGCACGTCAGTGGGACTGGTGCTCAGGGGGAGCGACAGCTTCCTCGGGTTCTTTAGGAAGCTCTGCCGCCCTTCGCTGCTCCTCCTCTCCATGACTGTTGCCTCTGATGCGACTTGCACAGTGTTTGACTCCGGCTTCAGGCTCATCTGGGCCCGAAACGCCTTGCAGAAGATGAAGTAGATGAGGGGATCCAGGCAAACATTGAGAACTGAGACCACAATAGTCATTTCCTTCAGGTAGAAGAACCAGCTGAAGGAGCACCAGATGTGTTTCATGAAGGCGTAGGGAAGACGAACCAGATGGTAGGGGACAAAGCAGACGCAGAAGACACTGACCAGCACCAGCATGTTTCTGCGGGACTTGGCCAGCTTCTTGGAGCTGGAGGATGCTGGCTGGTTCTCCTGGGCCTGTGCCAGCCTGTGGGAGGTTCTGTTGTAAAGGTAAACCAGCGACGCGAGGAAGAAGATGAAGATGATGCCGGAGAAGCAGTGGATGACCTTGTACAGGACGTTGAGCTGCTTACTGTGCAGGACATCACAGCTCACCATTCCTGGAAGATGGTCCTGACGCTCCTGGGTACTGAGCGAGAGGATCATGTAGGTAATGGTCATAGCCACAAGGACACTCCAGGTTGCTATGGAGATGATGAAGGCAGTCCTGGTTTTCAGCAGGGTGTGATTCCCTAGAGGGTGGATGATTTTTATGTACCTGCAGGGAGAAGAAAGGTGTGGGTTCAGTCAGGGACCAACATTTGGGTCAAAACAAACCCTTCAGAGTCCAAAACCCATCCATCACTAGCAGCAGCTTTTCCTGCAGTCATGTTGACTGGTTACAGATTATTAATATGTGTCGCTGTGAAAGTTATAAACAGTCCTTATTTTAAACAGCTTCCTGAACAGCCTCTGCTCAGAGAAATTGAGTTTACATCTTCTGGAGTGATGGGCTGACGGCTATCTGAGGTGTGTCTTGAATCAGCTCCGGCCTCCTCAGTCTTACACACTGTCACTTTCCCATCACAGGCTCATGTAAGCGGGAGAATGAAGAACTCCTGGATGAAGAGCTAGCTGCTGTTGCTGTTTATGTTTGTAAACAACCTCAGAATTCCATTTTAATAACCACAGAGTTCCGTGTAAGACTTCCAAGCAAACCGCCCCGTGACATAAACCCTCTCGCTGGTGTAAAGCCTACCGAACGCATCCTGTGAACCACTGAGAGATTTAAGAGATCAGAGCTGATTTCCAGTAGCCTGTCAAGCCTTCCTATACACGTGTGTGAATATATCGTCTGGCCACGGTCAGCTGAGGGTTCTCAGTCATGGGGCAGGATCTACAGTTGTCTTTCAAATAGTCTCACCGCTACAGATATTAGTCAACGGGGCAGTCCGCCATACTCCATCAAAAAAGACGCAAATACATAATTTTTCTAAAAAAAAATACTTAAGTACCTCTATCTGCTAACCTTCTCCAGCAAATCCCAAAGATTCTCACTGGGGTTAAGGTCTGGACTCTGCGGTGTGAGAAAACGATGTCTCATGCTCCCTGAACCACTCTTTTACTAGTTGAACCCGATGAATCCTGGCTTTGTCGTCTTGGATAATGGCCGTGTCATCAGGGAAGAAAGAATAACCTGGTCATTCAGGTAGTCAGCTGACCTCACTCTTGGAGCACATCCTGTTGCTGAACCTAGACCTGACCACCTGCAGCAAGCCCAGATCATAGCCCTGCCCCCACAGGCTTTTACAGTAGGCACTAGGCATGATGGGTGCATCACTTCATCTGCCTCTCTTCTTACCCTGATGCGCCATCGCTCTGGGACAGGGTCCACCTGGACTCATCAGACCTGTTTTCATAAAGCGATGGAAAAGCAAGGTAATTCAAGAAATCTGACTGGATGAATATTTAAAGTTTTAATGCATTTTTAAAGGACAGCAGCAGAGGGACTGATGTCAGTTTCAGTTCCAGTTTAAACTAAAGGAAGTTGGTTTAATTAACACATTATTTCTGTCAGTCACATCTGGAGCATGAGCGCTTCTGCTGGGAGGAAAGATTTGTTTCTTAAGCCTGATTCATGCTTCTCCGTCAGCTCCGCAAGGGACAGACACGCACGGACTGACAGAAGCGTTTTGCTCTCATACTTCTCCGTCTCCTGGAGAGTGTTGCAAAGCAATTCCCCAGCAGGACAGCAGAGGGCGTAGCGCTGTTCTGTGGTATCCTGTCGTGTATCGGTCCAAGATGGTGTATTTATATTGTGTTTTTTGTATATAAGAGACTTTTAACACGGACACATTTGTCTCTTATGCTCCTCCACCTCTTCATGCGCTCGCCACCTCTAAACCCACGTTTCCTGTCATTTCCGTCCACAAATAAAACGCTTGCTGCGCATCTTTTCACTCCTCCAGTCACGGGGGAATTAAACGTTCATGTTTTTAGAGTTTTTTTGCGAGGTATTCTTCAAGCTGCTCCGTGTCTGCCGCTAGTTATCCTCGGCTCTCTTTATGTTTTTGAGGGCGCAATGGCGGCGGTGTAGACGACAGCGGCGTCCTGACCAATCACAAGCTTGCGTTGTCCGTCTCGACTGACGGATGTTTAGAAAAGAGAGCTCGACTCCGTCCGTCCTTGCGGAGCTCTCCAGCAGGCCCGCAAGGACGTTGCGTGTCTCCGCACTGACGCAGACGGAGAAGCATGAATCAGGATTTAGTTAAACTGTTTCTACGACGCCCGACACAAGAAATCCAACCAAAGTTAAGCAGAAGAAGAAGAAGAAATCTTTTCTATAGCGCCTCTCAAGATAAAAATCACGAGGAGCTTCACAAAAACAAAAAAAGTAAAAATATAAAAAATAATTTAAAAAATGATTCAAATATGTTTAAAATGAGCAAAAAAATAGACAATTGTGATTAAAAATGTAAAGAAGGAGAGAGAGTGAATAGGTTGTATCTGCATGACTGTAGCCTCTGTGTCAAACTGGAGGGAAGACTTGATGTGAGCCCCTCTTTGATGGGGGGTCCCACAAGGCTCTGTGCTGGGGCTCATTCTGTTTTTGTTATGTACTGTCTCCCTTGGGGACATCTTCAAGAAGCATGGCACCTATGCTGATGAATTATAGTTTTATGTTCTTTTCCAATCCGGTGCATCCCTTTAGTCTGTCGTTGACTGCTTTCTGGATGTTGAGGCGTGGCTTGCTGCCAGTGTTTCACACCTAAATGATTCTAAAACAGAGGTGGTTCTTTTTTTTTTCTCCAACTGCAAACAATGGCGCCCCTGCCTGACATTTCCTATATTTGTTTACATCTCAGTAGCTCAGTTCCTAATCTCAGGATTAATCCCTTACTATGGACCTTCAGGTCCACTCCATAGCGTAGTCCTGCTTCTTTCAATTATGACGGATCACCAAACTCAAACCAACATTACCTAAACGGCATCTCAAATCTGTTATCCATGCTTTTATTCCTTCAGACTGGACTACTCAGACGAATCCCTGATGGGTGTAAAAAAAAAACTTCCATTGCACAGCTCAAGTTAGACCAGAATGCAGAAATTTAGAAAATGATTCAAATATATTTAAAATGAGCAAAAAAATAGACAATTGTGATTAAAAATGTAAAGAAGGAGAGAGAGTGAACAGGAAAACGGGAAATCAGTGGATCCTGAGGAAGGTGGAATAGGTGAGCAGGACAGCGGGATGAATCAGCTACCGGCGCCTGATGGATGAAAACAACTCTTCGTGGTTTCAGCAGACATAAATAACAAAACTGAAAATTCAAATCATCATAAGTTTTTATGAAAGGACGAGTGTAGACTGAAAATAAACAAACAAGAGTCTGCCGTTCCAGTGGCTGCTACTTGTCTTCATTCATGTCAGACGTCAGACTTTATTCACGTTGAACACAAACAGTTGGATTAATGACGCAAAAGCATCCTATCTGTTGTCTCTCTTTCAAATTGTGGAATATTTATTTGATGGCTATATTTGTTCTGAAAGTAAATGAAGTTATTTCCCTAATTTGATGATTGATTTTTAATCAGACTTTGTCTAAGAGTCCCTCTCTGATCATCTTATCTGAATACGAGTCAAACATTAAAGGTTCTGAGGTCTAAAGATCGTCCGACTCGGAAAAGGAAGTTGTCATTCTGTTCCCCTCAGCTCGACATTAACACTCCACATAGCTGTAATCCAAACTACTCCGGTATGAGAACCTCATGCCCCAGTCACACAAAGACTCAAGCCACACAAAAACACGCAAGCATTTGCAAATCATAGATAAGTTCTCACAGTAAAGCCATGAGCACACACACACACACACACACATAGAACCCAAAACAAAGATGCTTTTATTTCCTCGTGTTTTTGTTTCCGTTGATCATCAACGATCAGATTGTAAAGCAAGCCGAGACACATCCTGGAACCTCTAATGAAAACTGATGAAGTCTGAAGAATTTGAAACGTTTGGGCGGCTCATGGAGCGACATTAGGCAATGCTCACGCGGCAGCTGTGCCAAAGGCAGTTTGGAACGTGTGGTCTGGTTGCAAACATGAGTAGCAGCACAAATCGAAACACATTTATGGTTTTCTTAAGTTATTACTGCTCATTTTAACGTCATTGAGCCAGAATTGTGTAAAACTCCACCTGAACACACATTTAGGAACTACATGTCATTCTCTGGCCACTGCTGACGACGCCTGATTTATACTTCTCTGTGAGCTCCGCAACGGAGAGACGCGCACGGAGTGTCGGAAAGGTTTTCACATGCGAACTTCAGCGGAGCGTTGCTAGACAATTCCACGCCGGGACGACTGTGGTATCCTGCCACCGTGACACTCACGTATCTTTGCTGTGTTGAAATTCTAATTCCATCTTTTAGTTCTTTTTAAAACACAGAAAGGTTTTATTTACCTGCAACGTTTCGTTTGCGGCTACAAACGTCCTCAGAGCTGACGCTGATGGTGGCGTCACTTCCTTCTCCGTTTGTCCGCGGGCAGCAGAGGACGTTGTCGCCCTCTGCTGCCCGCTCTCCTCTCTCTGACGATGCAGTCCCATGCGCGACCCAAAGAGTAAACTCCGTCGTCCCTGTTCATGGTCCCACATCCACGTCTACTTATCTCTTTAGCTTCCTTCATCCATCTTTTGTATCTCTGTTGTTCGGTGTTTATGATCCTTGTGCTGTCCCAGTCCATTACATGGTTTTCTCTTGTGCAGTGATCTGTCACGGCTGACCTTTTTATTGTACTTTCTGCTTCTTCTGTTGCTGCTCTTGTGTGTCTTCGATTTGCCTCTTTCTCGCACTCCTTTCTGTGTTCTATTGTTCGTGTGTTGAGTTGGCGTCCGGTTTCTCCCTTCGTATGTTTTATTGCAGAGTTTGCATGGGATTTCGTAAATGACTCCATATTTACGTCCAGCTGGTTTCTTGTCTTTTGGGTGCACTGGTCTGTTTCTAACTGTTGTGTATGGTTTTGTTGGTGTGTTTATGTTGTGTTTTTTTCATCGTTGCTCTTATTTTTTCTGTAATGCCTCTGATGTATGGTAGGGTTATCACTGGTTCTGGTTCTTGTCTTTCTGGGGTTCTGGTACTTTGCTTTGGTTGTTCTTTTCTTTCTGTTGTTGTTTGTTGTTTTCCTTTGTTTATTGCCCATGTCGGGTATCTGCAGGTCTTTAAAGCATGTTGTATGTGTTTGTCCTCTTGTTTACGGTCTCTTTCTTCTGTTACCATGTTTGCTCGGTGATATAATGTTCTGATTACTGACATTTCGTGTATGGTGGGGAGTTCTGATGTCCATAATAGATATTGGTCTGTGTGTGTTGGTTGGATCGCGCATGGGACTGCACCGTCGGAGAGGGGAGAGCGGGCAGCAGAGGGCGACAACGTCCTCTGCTGCCCGCGGATAAACGGAGAAGGAAGTGACGCCACCATCAGCGTCAGCCTGACGAAGTTTGCAGCCGCAAACGAAACGTTGCAGATAAATAAAACCTTTTCTGTGTTTTAAAAAGAACTAAAAGATGGGACTCATGTATCTGGTCCACGATAGTGTTTTTTAATAATGTGTAAATTTGTCCTTCATTCTCCTCCACCTCTTTTTGCGGTCGCCACCTCTAAACCCACGTTTCCCGCCGTTTCCGTCCACGTTTGCTCCGTATTTTGTACTCCTTCAGTCACGGCTGAATAAACGTTCACAATTCCAGACTTTTCCGCAATGTTTTCTTCAATCTGTTCTGGGTCCGTCGCTAAATATCTTTTTACTTTTTAACGGATCTACGGCGGGTGCTGGTGACGAATTTGCAGGAAGTGGCATCCAGACCAATCACAAGCTTGCATTCTCCGTCACTTTCGATGGATGTTTAAACATTTTGGGCTCCATTGTGCTTTGTGAGCCTGTTGGAGAGCCCTTGCGCCGACGCGTAACAGCGCTACGTGTCTCCGTACCGACGCAGATGGTAGGAGTAGAGCTCAGGAACAGATCTCACTGCAGATGAAGATGCTGCTGCTGTTCTCTGGGTTTGGACATGTTGACCTGACACGCTGATGTCATTCCTACCTGTTGGCTGCAATGTAGCCCATGAACATGATGCTGGCGTACATGTTGAGATAGAAGGCAGAAGCACCAAAGTTACAGTAGACCAGCCGAATGTCGACGGAGTTGCTGGCGTAGTTCATGATTCTTATGGGGAGACAGAGGCTGATGAGGAAGTCTGAGGCTGCCAGGTTCTTCAGGTAGATGGTGACACTGCTGGACGCCCGGCGCTGGGGTCTGCAGAAGTAAACCCTCAGCGTGAAACCATTAAGGAACAGTCCCACCTAGGGAGGAAACGAGGAACTCAGACAACACAACAAAAATCGAAGATAAGAAGAAACCAGAGGCTCACCAGAAAAATCAGACTGTAGATGGATATAAAGAATATGTGGGCTGTTGGGTGAACGGGTTCACAGGACGTGGAGTTACTGGTGTTCATCTTTCCTGACTGGGTGGTATCGCCTGGATTATCTAGGAGAAGTGAGAGAAGTTGCATCAAATTCTCTTGATCCCAGAGGGAAACTCAGACATCCCTCGACCGTTTCAGCTCTTGGTCCTGTTGTCCTTGCCATCTTCAATGCCAGCTTAACAACTGCTGTGGTGCTCCATGTCTTTGAGCATGTGGTTGTCCAGCCAGTCTTGAAAAATCCCGGCCTTGACAGTTCAGATACAGTCTGTGAACCACTTAAAAAAACACCAACCTCACGAACATTTTTCAATCAGGTTTCAGATTGCAACACAGCACCTTAAGGTTTTAAACAACGTTTTTCTTGGAGACTGACTCTGGCCACAATGTCCTCCTTATTCTCATGGATTTGTCCGCCGCTTCTGATACAGTCGACCATGGCGTCCTGTTAACTCAACTCCAGAAGCTGGTGGGCGTAACTTGCTCTTCACTGAATAGGTTTAGGTTGTATCTGCATGACTGTAGCCTCTGTGTCAAACTGGAGGGAAGACTTGATGTCAGCCCCTCTTTGATGGGGGGTCCCACAAGGCTCTGTGCTGGGGCTCATTCTGTTTTTGTTATGTATTGTCTCCCTTGGGGACATCTTCAAGAAGCATGGCACCTATGCTGATGAATTATAGTTTTATGTTCTTTTCCAATCCAGTGCATCCCTTTAGTCTGTCGTTGACTGCTTTCTGGATGTTGAGGCGTGGCTTGCTGCCAGTGTTTCACACCTAAATGATTCTAAAACAGAGGTGGTTCTTTTTTTTCTTCTCCAACTGCAAACAATGGCGCCACTGCCTGACATTTGCTATATTTGTTTACATCTCAGTAGCTCAGTTCCTAATCTCAGGATTAATCCCTTACTATGGACCTTCAGGTCCACTCCATAGCGTAGTCCCGCTTCTTTCAATTATGACGGATCACCAAACTCAAACCAGTATTACCTAAACGGCATCTCAAATCTGTTATCCATGCTTTTATTACTTCAGACTGGACTACTCAGACGAATCCCTGATGGGTGTAAAAAAAAACTTCCATTCCTCACCTCAAGTTAGACCAGAACGTGTCATCCAGGTTTTTGACAGATACAGAGGGGCGTAAACACATCACACCTGTTCTCCGCTCTCAGGACTGGCTCCCAGTTTGTTTTAGACTTCAGTTTAAGGTTCTCTTATTTGGGTTTAAATCCTTGAATGGCTGCGCTCAGGAATGTTTTGTCCCTAAGGACTGTCTCGCGCCCTCACGTCTTCCACACACTTGCTCCTCTGCGTTCCAAAGTCACGCCGTAAAACCGGAAGTAAACGTGCCTTCTCAGTTTACAGTCCTAAGCTTTGAAATGATCTCCAACTCTCTGTCAAACATCACTGATCACTTTAAAAAAATTCGCCTTAAGACCAATTATCTTAATCTGGCTTTTAATTCATTTTAACTTCTGAAGTCGCTGTGTTCCCAGTGGTGTTCATGCTAAGGTTTTTGGTTGTTTTTTCATAGTTTTTCCATTACGAATAGAAATATAATAGATTTTATTTTACCGGTATATTATACTTCCACAGTGTCAAAGCTGCAGAGGGATCAGAACGCTGCAGCGAGGTTCCTTACCAGAGTGAACAAATGGGAGAGCATCGCTCCAGTATTACACGCACTGCGGTGGTTTACGGTAAAACACTGCATTGGGGTCAAGGTTCTTGTATGTACATTCAGGTCGCTAGCAGAAATTGTGCCACCTTATCTGTTGTCACTACACTTAAACATTCTCCCTCTCCTGATAATAACATTTTACTCTCTTTGACATTGAATGTGCTACTACTAGTTTACCCGTTTAATTATAGATCCACTAGGATAAATACAATGAAGTTTATCTCTCGCCAAACAGAATATTTACTAAGAAATCACAATGTAACCATAGAAACACTACTTGGTGTGTGCGTGCGTGCGTGCGTGCGTGTGTGTGTGTGTGTGTGTGTGTGTGTGTGTGTGTCTGCTCTGTCTTCTCCATCCCCAGTGAGTCGTGGAGGATGGCTGCTTATACTGAGCCAGGATTCTCTGGAGGTTTCTTCCTGTTAAAAGGGAGTTTTCCTCTCCACTGTCGCTACATGCTTGCTTAGTATGAGGATTGCTGTAAAGACTCTGACACTAGTCAGTGACTCGATGCAATTTGCTGGGTTCCTTATATAGGAAACTTTTTACTGATTGGCTTAATGACCTGACCTGTACTGGAATGTTTACTGTGTGAAGGTCCTTGAGACGAGTCTAGTCGTGATTTGGCGCTATATAAATAAACTTGAATTGAACTGAATTGAATTACTGCAGAACCCCCACCCCCACCCCCACCCCCAAGAAGATCACTGCGCTCTGCTGCCAACACCCTACTAGTTGTTCCACGAACCAAGCGTAAGAGTCGCGGAGATCGAGCTTTTACTACTTTTGCCCCAAAATTGTGGAATGGCCTTCCACTGGAAACTAGACTCACAGCTTCACTTGAGGATTTTAAAGCAAAACTGAAAATGCAGCACAGACCCACAGCACCCCGTTAGGCCTCTGATCTGATTGTTTTAACTGATTGTGTCAGTTTAGCTGATGCGCATGGCTTTTAGTCCTTGTTTGCATGCAGCGTTTAGCTAAATGAAGATTTTTATCTAGGATGTCATTGCTCTGGTACTCAACATGAGCTTAAGTGTAGTACATTTTACTTTGTATGCTGTATCACTTATTATTTTAATGTTTGTTTGCTGCGTTCAGAGCTTTGGGCTGCCTTGATTGGCAGCAGGAATGGTAAATGGCCTGTATTTGAAGGAAGGCGCTCATACACAAATAAATGAAATGAAAATGTATCCCACAGTGTGGAAATTCCCTTGTTGCAGCAGCACGTACACTCATAGGATAATTTGAAGAAAAAAACAATAACAAGCCCTCTTACGCTCTTTGTTCTCCAGTGGTTTTGGTCCCCTTATTTAGATGGGACCTGTTACTGTTGTTTTTATTGCTTTTTCACTTTGGGGGCTCTTGTGCCGGGTGGAAAAGGCTTCATAAACAAACTGCAAGTGGAACACTCAAGAAACAAGGAAGAGATTCATGCATCACTGACAATAAACACAGAACAAAGTCAGTAACGGGAAGTGGCTGAACACCACAGCAGTCACAAACATATTTGTGTCATCAGCATGCAAGACTGTGGTTAAAGCCGGGCGGACACTGTGTGACTTTTTCACCCGTAGCACTCAGCTTCAGCTCAAACTGTACGACTTCCTCGCAGGGCAGATCTCACGAGTCATGCGCTCACGCTGTACGACCCAGTTCTCGCATGCGACCTGACAGCTCACACTGTACGTCTGGTAGCAACACGTCGGACCTAAAAATATGCTAAAAATAGCAGTTTTTACTCAACACGTCAGACTTTCTTGTCTTGTTTTGCCTGTTGTCCTTCGGGAGTGCTGCAGGCGGACACATGGGGATTTATGGGGGTTGGATGAGGAAAACGAAATAAAGAAAGTAAATCTGTGTTTTGTGATCAGTTTAATTAGTCTGTCATGATCTCAACCTCCCTCAGCGTGTGCTGGGAGTCCCTTTCGGCACTGAGCCACTGACCAGTAAGTTCTGGGGTGTGAGTGTGAACAGGGGACGGTGGTGGTTAAGCACTCAAGGTTACGGAAGACTCCTCCAATGGGCAGAAAACTCTAAAGAACTAATTTAGCGTACTCAGTGGCCTAGTGGTAGAGTGTCCGCCCTGAGATCGGGAGATCAGGGGTCCGATTCCTGGTCGGGTCACACCAAAGACTTTGAAAAAATGGGACCCAATGCCTCCCTGCTTGACACTCAGCATTAAGGGGTTGGATTGGGGGGTTAAACCACCAAATGGTTCCCGAGCGCGGCTTGTCTGCAGCTCACCGCTCTCCCAGGGGATGGGTCAAATGCGGAGAATAAATTTCACCTCACACCTGTGTGTGTGTGACGACTAAATGGGACTTTAGTTTAAACTCCAGATTCAGTCCTGTTTGGTGGTTCTGGATAAACAGTTCTGCAGATCTTCTGATGGACTTTCTAAGGTTTGTTTGTTTGTTTGTTTGTTTGGACTTTGATTTTAGTATCTGAACATTTTCAGAGGATTGTTGTAAACGTGATTCATTCAAACAGGAAAAAGCTCCAAACTAAAGGGATGAGCCAGAGTTTGAAGAATGCTGTAATCCACCCGCGTCTTAAAAAACCACGTCTTGACCCCTCTCTCCATAGCAGCTTCAGACCCATCTCTAAACTTCCGTTCATCTCCAAGATCTTGGAAAAGGTTGTGGCTAAACAACTCACAGCTGCTCTTATTTATTTACTATTTATTTATTTAACATGTTTTTTCAGGAGGATAAACTGCTTGAGATGTAACATCTCGTTTTCGAGCAGGTCCTCCTACAACACAACCGATAACAAATAAGGTGGCAGAGTTAGAAAGTTGTAACAGATTTAAAAAAGAAAAAAGAAGGAAAGTAAATAAATAATAACAGTAAAAATACTGATATATATAAATATATATATATATATATACACATGTTAATATATGCGTACACACACACAAATATATACACATATGCATGGATACATAGATACCCACACATGTACATACGTATATAAATACCTATGTACACAATTAAATTAAATAAAACTGCTGTGAGGCACTCAAAAAGAAATAAGGGCAAAATACTACATCGTATTTAAACCTAAAGTGGAGTAATATCCCAGTTGAATACAAAGATTGGCAACAAAAAACAGCATTTTAGCCAGTGAATGCACAAAATCATTATAACAAAGATTAAACAATGCAACTACAGCTCGGCTTTACATAAGCACGAACAGTGCAGGAAAATTGGCAAATTGAAGAGATAGATTCAGTGCCGGAGTTTTTAAAAAGATCTGTTTTCGTGTGAAAAAACTCCGTTTTCGTGTGGATGACAGGCCAAAACGTAGAAAAATATCTACGTTTTGGCGGATCCCCGGCTACGTGTGGACAGGGCCTGAGACTTCAGACTAGAGGAGACATAAGTGGCAACCCCGCCACCCCTCGTCCCTCTATCCATTCTATATAAAACAAAGTTGTCAAGAGAAATATCATTGTCAGAAATGTTTTCATTCAACCATGTCTCAGATAACGTAATTATTTTTGGTTCATTATAACCAAGCCATGCTTTTAATAAATCAGTTTTAGGAAATAAGCTTCTTATATTAAGATGGATTATGTGTAACCCTTTACCCATAATAAGAAAAACGAGGTACAAAAATAACCCTCACAGCAGGCAGACACAGAAGAAAATCTAAAATGAAGATAAACAGAAAAAAAAGACCAAAATATAATAAAATTACACGGAAATTAAATGAGTTATCACTCATGGTCCAAAGAGCAATGGTCTCATATCTGAGCCCATGGCCTGCATCCTGCTCCAAGCACAGCCACCTAAACTAATAAAATTGCCATAACTCAACACGGTGGCTGGATTTTATCAATACAAATAAATAAGAATAAAGTAAGAATAATTTGACCTTAGACGAAGTTTGACTTCTTCACTGAACAAGAGGAGAAGCAAAAAACAAAAGGAATTACCTGCTCTGCGGAAGAGCCAGAATCTAATAATAAAAGAAAGAGGAAAGTCAAGTCCGCCCTGCGCAGGTGCTCGTACATCCAAAGCATCTCAGGGCATCTCAACCCAAAGAGTCCAAGTGACTTTCAGCAGCCACTGGGTCTGTAAAAAGCAGATGATTACCATCAGAGATGATCTTGATGTTTGCAGGATAAAGAAGAAAAGCTTGTAGTCCCAAGGCGCGAGCCCGGTTCAAAACCGGGAAGCAGCAGCGTCTCCGACGAGCTGTTCCATCACTGAAATCAGCAGCAAATCGAACCAATTTACCAGCAACCGACACCTCAGACTTCCTTGCCAGAGCCAGGATCCGATCTCTGTCATTCGCTCGGAGAAAACAGACCACCAAGGAGATCCTGACGCGCCAGGTTGTCCAACCCGCCGTGCCCGAGTTATATCAGGAGGAGATCCCGCCAGCTCTGGGAACCACACCAACAAGTTGCTCCTAAAATAGGATAGAGCATTGTTAAGCTCAATCCCCTCTTTTAAATTGAGGATCCGGATATTATTCCTTCTACTTTGATCATTGAGGGCAGTAATCTTCCTCTGGAGTTTCTGCAGGTCTGCGCTCTGAGCCACGGAAGCGTCCTCCATGCACCGCACCCTTTTTTGGAGTAAGGTGGTGATTTGTTTTTGAGTTTCAAGCTCTTGTGTGTGCTTGTCAAGTGTAGATCGAACTGAGTCAAGTTGAGAGTCAAGACTATCAAACCGATCCTTGGCATGTTTTTCTGCTTTGTCAAAAAACTTTTGAAGAGTAGACTCCAGAGTCTCCTTTTTCAGGATTTCCAGTGACACATCAGCAGCGTCGTCGTCAGAGCCCTTCGTTTGATCTTTCTGCTGGCGCTTAGGGAGGCATTTTTATCAGTAATATGGCTTAGTAATTCACCTTTTTCTCCACTCCTTCAAAATAGAACTTAAATTCACGTACCAAATGCAAAAGGTCAAAAATCCAGGTAGTTAATTAAATTATGCAGGAGAGACCGCAAGCAACCAATCATTCACTCACTCCGCCATCTGTAAAAAATAGAACATAGAGTTTAGCTTGGTGGAACCAGTTGACATAACTCTTCAGAGAGCATCTTCTTAACTTGGGATCTTAAGGTTGTGGCTAAACAACTCACAGCTGCTCTTGATGAACATAACATCCCAGCAAAACCATCCATTCAGCACAATATCTCAATCCAAAATGACTTCCTATCTCTGGCTCCTTCAAAGGCAGTTCGAAATCTGGGTGTTGTGATTGATGAACACCTGACCTTTAAAGATCATGTTGCCTCTGTTGCTCGTTCATGCCGCTTTGCGCTGTATAACACACGAAAGATCAGACCATACCTAACACAACATGCCACCCAGCTCCTGGTGCAATCTACTGTCATCTCCCGCCTCGATTACTGCAACGCCCTTCTAACTGGTCTTCCAGCCTGTACTGTGAGACCTCTTCAAATGGTCCAGAACGCAGCGGCGCGTCTGGTCTTCAATCAGCCAAAAAGAGCACACGTCACCCCTCTGTTCATTGAGCTCCACTGGCTACCGCTAGCAGCACGCATCAAATTCAAATTGCTAACACTAGCATACAAAGTCTGAGATGGCGCGGCTCCCATCTACCTGAATCCTCTTGCAAAGACTTACGTCTCGGCCCGGCCGCTCCGGTCATCACAGGATCGTCGGCTAGCAGTGCCTACACCACGCTCAGGACAA